CTCTGGCAGACTTGGTTCTATGGTAGGTCTTAAAGGGTTAAAGCCGAAAGAGAAACGTTGCAGTCTGTGGTGAGAAACATGATGACCAAATCTTTAGAGTAAGCTTTATCATCACTTAGTGCATTTATTTCAGCCTGTCCAAGACAACTTAAATATGCAGGTGGATACATTATCAGTCAAAGTTGAAAACCTACTGGGCTTTGTTCGCCAAGTCAAAAAGAATGCTAACCATTGGGTTACTTAAATGGACAAGATTGCACTCAAGATTGGTGAGCTGGAGGTTGGAATTTTATGCCAAATACAGCAGTTTATGGTTTTACATTGTTGGAATACATTGCAAATAATGTAAATTTCAATATGGTGGTTGGCTGTTCTATGTTGTTTTCTTCATACACTAGGTTTCGCAGTTACTTTGCCCTGTACAGACGGGGAGCCGGCACAGGTTCACTAGACCTCGCTTCGTGACTGTCAAGGACGTTAGCTATCAAGGGGTTTGGGGGAGGGGGGTGGTGTGGATTCAACTACACAATAATCAACACATAAATGACACTACAGACCCATGACCTTATAGATAGATAATGATGATGCTCAGTGTTTGTTTGTTTTTTTACTTATAGGTGTTGAGTATGCTTGGTTATTTTTATGTATTTGAGTTTTAATCTAAAAATCTGTGGCCAGTTTAACAGTTTTATCTATCAACTTTAACAGTTTTATTATCTGTTAAAGGGCTGAATTCTCCCTTAAAATGTACGAGCATCCTCGATGTCCTGCACAGGCAGAAATTGGTTTCAGCTCTATTACAGAAGATTAATCTCAGACCAGTGGATGTAAACAGAATGGAGAATAAATATTATAAGACCAGTGTTGCTTTAGGCGATGTTTCTAAACAGAAAGGGGTTATGATATTGATGAAACGTAACAGTCATATACAAGAGAAAATTAATTCCAGTTTATCGGTGGAGTTGGGCATATTGTTGCTTTAATCTGAAAGTGGAAAAACTGGTATATGTATCTATTTAAGGCCTTACCATCTATGAGGTAAACATCTCCCCACTGTTGACTAAAGAGCTGCCTAACTCGAGTGATTATGTACTATTCACTGGAGCTGATATGATAATGATGATGATACCTTCTTGAATTGAAACATGGACAGGTCTCATCACACCATATCAACAGCTAAAGCTCAACACTCAGCTGTCCATCTAAAGGTCAAAGGTCACTCTGCGAGGATGCCAA